ATAAATATATTTATATTTATAGAGTTAGGTAAAGCTGTTTTTATTCTGATCTGATTTCTATATAAAATTCAACTAGTCTCTGATTTTAAAAGATAGTGAAAACAAAAAGAATAGTTTTATTTCACTGCTCTTCACAACCCATTAGAAATAACTTTCCCATGTTTCCTAATACACAACTATGATGCTAAATTAATTTAACAGGCACAAGTTGCAATAAGATGATGAAATCACAACAGATAATTGTTCATGCCAGCTCTCTATCCAGGCTAAAGGATAGTGCTTCTATTAGTGGTCAATAGTGAAAGCTCAGGAGAAAAATGTAAAAACAGGGTAAACATGAAACTGTAGTTCTTTCAGAAATTGGCAGTTTGGGTCCTCCCCAAGCAAAGATTTCATTCAGACTATTTGTTTTTCACAGCCACCTATGTTACTGGCAGCTTATGAGATTTATTACACAGTCTAAATGGATGTGTCTCGTTTGAGCTATTCTAATTTTCACACGATTTCCCATGTTTCATCTGTCTTTCTTGAATACTGTGATGAGTACAGTGTAAAGAGCCTCAAGAAGAGTTTGTGATGTTATAAAAGGATATGAAAAGCTTGTTCATGTGAAAGCAAAGATTTCTGAGTAAATCTTAAGGATACTGTCAACTTGAAGAGTAGTCAGTTAGAATCTGTCATAAATTGAAGCAAAAGACACTTAATCCTGGTTTGTCAATTGTAATTTTAGAATCTGATTTTACCTTTTAAAAACAAACAAAAAAGAGTTCTCTCTTCTCATAATAAAACTGTGTAAATGATGGGGGAAATTCTGTATATAAAGCAAACCTCACAAACCAGAGAAATATTTTAAATCTGTGCCATTTACAGTAAACTGATGGCTATAATTTTTGTTTAGCTGAAAGCATATTTTACCGTGATTGTAATTTTTTTTTTCCCATTTAAAATAGATTCCAGTCACTCTAGGAGCTATCACTAAAATATGTCACATATAAATTTAAAGGTACATGATTATGTCAAAATTTCCAAGTTCTTCCTATAGGTACATGAAAATTGCGATAATTTTGTTTTCTATTTTTCTTTTCCATTTTTTTTTTTCTGTTCTTCAGTTGTACTTCCTCTTCTCCATAAATATTGTGAGCTTTTTTGTTGTATCACTAGAACTGAAACAACAGACCTATATTCTGAAAGTTCTGAAAATAAGGGAAAATACTGATTCAAAAGGGGACTTCTGTAAGACATTTTGGGAAATCAAGTAGATTTTTTAAAATTTATTAATAGTGAAAGTCTTTTAAATGATATTTACAGGCATCTGACTATCCAGTTGTACTGTCTTTGGAGAACCACTGCAGCCCTGAGCAACAGGAAGTAATGGCAGAGCATTTAGAAAATATTCTAGGTGAAAAACTTCTTACTTCAACACTTGGTGAAACAGTGGTGACCCAGCTACCATCTCCTGAGGTAATAACATTGTATTTTTCTCTGTGAAAAATAGGGGGGGGAAAAAAAATCTATTTTTTTTTTTTTTTTTAATATTCTAAAACTGAATTTAGGAAGCTACTCATCTTGTGCCTGAAATAAACTTTAGGTGGTAACAAAAAATAATTAGCAACACGATATAACCCCACAACAAAAGATAAAGAAATGAAAAAAGCAAACATTAACCTTTCAGATTAATATGGAAATTTTTCTTTGAAGGAAAAATAGTATAATATTGAAATGTGTATTTATTAAAAGCTGACATACCAACATTTTTGTAAAGCCTTAGATTCTACAGTTCATAATAATCTAACCTCTGGTGCTTTATCTTATTTTTATTCAGTTTAATTTTATATTCAAATACAGTTAAGTAAGGTTTGTGGGTTGAGTTTATTTTACATGGCAGCTGTAGTTATGTGTCTTGTTGATTTGAATCATACTTAACACTGAGTAGACCTGCATATCAAAAACTCAGTAGTGACACTGAAAGTACTCTGATTTTTTTAAAGTAAACTATTACTTAATATGAATTAAGGTGTCATGGTGTGATTCATCTACAGAAGTCCTGTGTTGGAGACATGGTAGTCTAAGCACAGAAAAGAACATCTGCCTTTAAAGAGGGTATATATGAGTGTTATGCAAACACTGGATTAATTTAATTTTGGAAATTTCAAGTTACTGAAATATTGCATTTTAATGAATAACTTCAAAGTTTCTGTTGACCTGAAAAGTAAAAATTTTGAGGTTAAACTGAATGTTTCTCTCCACTCTTCTCCTCTCTTCCCTTCCTTTTTTCTGAAATGAGGCTTCCAGTGTTTTAGTTTTAAAAGAAGAAACAAAGTATAAATTTGTAAACAACATTATGCTTTGAACCAAAATTTTAAAAGCTTCACTTTAAACATTATAGTATATCTGTTTCCTGGCAGTTTGTTTTTTTGTTTCTTAGATTGAAAGAATTTCCCAAAATTTAAACACATTTTTGAAATTGAAACCTTAATTTACATTTTTTTTAATAACAATGTTGATGGAAGTATTTAATCAAGTTCTATTACTGCAAAAGCATTCTTTCTTTTTCAGTGTGTTCCTCCCTAGGGCAACGTTTCTCAGCTGGTGTCTTGAGACCCCTGGGATATAAAATCAGAAAAGGCAATTAGATGGGTGTTGAAAATTTCATTGCAAACTAAAACAAATAAATTCCTATTGTTCCAGTCTTTGCACATAATTTTCTTTCAAGGACAAAGGATTTTTTTTTTTTTTAAATCTCTTGTAACACAAATATACGCATATATACAAAGCAGTTATTTAGACTTGTCACTGCTACCAGTGATGTATCAGATCTATTTTATACCTTTTTTCTTAGAGTAATTGAAAAAGGAACAATGCAAATGAAAAGTGTGGGGAGGAAACACTGTCATTAGGAAAGATAACACACAAAGTGATTCATTTTTGTAAAGGAACTGTCATAGAAAACCATTTTTGTGTGTCCAAAAAAAATTTGACATTGCACGAAGTATTGCCATACTACAAATAGAGTGGTAAGCTTTACTTTTGACAAGCATCTGTTTGAAGAACCACTTTTGGTCCATGTTCAGAAGGGTTTTAGTAGTATTATATCCTTAAAGCTTGGGAACTTGTGTATATTGAGGGCCTGGGTAAATTCATTATAATTTGAGTGAGTCAGGTGATGAACTGCTTTAACTTATGCTTAAGCCTGCTTTATTTAAGCAGTTGAAAAGAGATATTATAGAACTATAAATGATGAATTTAAAATACTGCTCATGAGAAGGATTCTCAGTGTATAAAAAAAATAGTTGTCACCTATGTCATTTACTGTTCCACACTCTTCAAGATGGAGCCAGAATCGGGAAGAAGTTATTGCATCTGATATGATTCTGTTAGAACCCAACAGATAAAGCCACCCCAGGAAGAAAATTGCATCCAAAGTGTTAGCATCAATAATGGAGTAAAGGCACTGTTCTTTAGACATGACAGTCTTCTGATCTCTAATATAAATCTAATAAGATATACAAAGTATCAGAACAATTAAAGTTCATTGTAGTTGCTCAGATATGAGATTGGTTGAACAGAATGGTGCATTCATTGGCATGGCTCAAGTGCAGCAAATACACTTGCTTAGAGGCTGATATGACTGATAGCCTGATAACCTATTCTGAAAAAAATTGCTACCAATAATGCACTCAAAGGAATTTCTGTACCTGTCTACATGAGGACTTTTCTTGCAAAATTCTCATCAGGTAACTATCTAACTATATTACATTCGTCTGACACAACAGGGAAAGCTTTGAAATCAGTTTCCTCTTTCAAAACTTTCCTATGTAACTCACCTGTATTTATGTGTCAACCTGTATCTTTCATTAAATATTGAAATAAAAAAAAAGTAAAAAAGAATTAGAAAATATAGCAAAACCCAACATTTTTAAAAAGAAATTGACATATACTCTAATTCAGCCTATTAACATGTCTTAAATTTTCTTTGTAGAGTTCTGCTCAGCATGGTTTCAGTTCACAGTTCACTTTCAGTGATTTGTGTTATCTATTGTTGGAGTCTACTTCAGACTAAGAAAAAAGGCAAATTTTTTCTTGGGAAAAAAAAAGTTTGTCTTACCTCAGGGTATTTACATCTTTGCTAACAGTTCATAAACAGAATTTTAGAAACTGTCTGACTTAAAACATCATGGCCCACTTTTATATGATGACACAAACTACACTTTTTTTTACCTAAAGCAAATTTACATATAGGACACAAAAATACATCCATATAAATGTTTTCCTTTGCTTGTATACCAGGTCTTTTTTATTAGCTTGTAGAACTGAATCTTACCTTTGAATAACAAAACAGAAGACCAAAAGTGGATAGACTTGCTTTTAAAAAATGGGAAATGAAAATGTAAAGGAGAATTCAGAACTCTTTAAAAATAAGAGTAGCATTACTCCTATTAAAACTCTTCTAAAAATATCACAGGAAAAAAATGAGTACATCAAGAAGAAATGAAGGAAATGTTAGAGGGCATCCTTATTCTGAATCACCAGTGCAGAGACTAATCAAATTTAACTCTAGCATGGCAATGATAGATATTAAACATGGATATCTCATTCCACTGGCACATTGAGAAACTACTAATACAAGATCTGAAGTGATAAGGGGATTATCAGCAATGGAGATTGCAACGTAAATAAATGGAATGTCTATTTCTTTGCCTATGGCTCTAGTTTCTCTTATAAAGCTTTGGTTTTATATATATATTTCTATCATCCATGCTTTTCATGTTTACTGAATGTGTACCTTAAAAGACAATAATTCAATTATCTTTTATTCAATGTGTAAGTATTTGTTCCTTGTTTCTGTAACATTCCCAGCAGTACAGACTTCCTTTTCTCTAGTGTGCATGAAACTTAAGGAACATTTTTGTGTATTACTTTATCTAAGGACCTAAGTAAGTCCTGTCACTAACTGTTACAGCTACTGCACTGTTCCTGTGAACAGAGGAATTGACAAATGTCTGCCACCTAATAGCTGTTTTACTGTGAATATTGTCTCATAAATCTAAGTGAAATTTATACTCACAGGATTCAGGTGCATAGATGAAAGCCATCTTATCAGAAATCATAACCTTTAATGAATTTATTCCCTGCAATCTATACTATGGAAGTTGAAACATGCCCATTTAAAACCAGAGAAACTGCTTAGGCAACAAATTACCAAACTCTCTTAATTTCCCTGATTAGGTAAAGTCAGCATGTATAATGACATAACATCAATAATTTTAGTTTGGTACACCAGACAGATGTGCACAAACATACTAATAAAGTAGGATAACAAATTTCCAGGAGCTGCACATTTAGCTAAAAAAAATGTTCAAATTAATATCAGATAAGTGGCTCTAGGTCTATATATAGAAATGAATTCACACATGGCAAAAAAAGTAAATGTCCTGTGTCTTACCTGACCACCACCCCTGACATTTACTTAATTTTCTATCTTAATCTTACAGTGTCAGCATCTGTGTATCTATATGGTGAAGAGTCCTTTTTTCCTCTCATGGGGTTAAATATTCACATTCTGTTGTGTACTTGATCTCCAGATTCTGTTTGTTTCAATTTCTTTTGACTTCTGCCTGACTGGTATCTATAGTCACTTCTTTATGTTGCCTCACTCCATTATAATTAAGAAACAGCTTTGAATGTGAGTTAAACAATATCTAGATATGAAAACCTACAATTAATCCATACACAGTTCTAGTTACTAATGTTTACCCTCTTTTCTACAGGCATTAAAATTCAAAATTCTGATAAAAAATAAAAAAGTTGGAACAATTGAGGAAGGTATGCTCAGGAGAGGTCTTGACAGTCATGGTGAGACAGGAGATATTTCTGATTTTGAAAATATGTCTGATGATGATGAGACTGATGAAAAATCTTCTCCTCACCCAAAGAGTGCTCCCTCAAAGAGTACTCCCTCAAAAAGGAAAAGGGATTATAGTCCTTCAAGCCCACCTCGGAAAAAGGCAAAGGTAACTTTTGTTGCAGTTGAATTTAGAAAATGCACAGATGTATGCCAGCTTTTTTTTTTTTTTTTCCTTTTTAAATGAAGGAGTAAATTATCTTAAAGTAGAGGCTAAATTTGATAAATTTAATATATTTTGAAATAAGTTGTTTTAGCTCAAGGCTCCAGAGTTTTCCTGATTCTTACAAGACACTCCAAGCTGGAATATATTTTAGTGTCCAATGAAAAAGCAACTGTTCCTTCTGCTTCCACCCTATACTCTGCCTCCATTTTTCACTTTCAAGTCTTGTGCTTGTCCCAGGTGCTCAATACCACAATAGATCTAAGATAAAGTTTCCCAATTCCTTTGTTGGTCTCAAGGCCCTCCTGGAGCCATGAATGATGAATACTCATAGCACTCCCTGATGATGAAGGACAGTGAACTGTTTCTTTCACCAGATGACCAGTCTACCTTGGAGATTTTGAATCACAGAACCACTTTGGTTGGAAAAGACTTTTAATATCATTGGGTCCAACCATTAACCTGATGCTACCAAGTCCACTGCTAAACCATATCTCCTAGCACCACATCTACACAGCTTTTAAACACATCCAAGGATGATGACTCAACTATCTCCCTGGGCAGCCTGTTCCAATGCCTGACAACCCTCTCACTGAAAAAAATTCTTCCTAATGTCCAGTTTAAACCTTGCCTAGTGCAGCCTGAAGCCATTTCCTCTTGTTCTATTACTAGCTACTTGTGAGAAGAGACCAGTGCCTACCTCTCCATAAAGTCCTTTCAGGTAACTGTAGAGTGCAATAAGGTCTCCCCTCAGCCTCCTTTTCTTCAGACTAAATAGCCCCAGTTGCCTCAGCTGCTCTTCAGAAGAGCATGAAGAGTTTCCATTCCCCAGTTTGCTTCTGTTCTGACTATATGCATTAAATTAGATGTAGAGTTCTGGTTGCCCTAAAACATTTTTAAGCACTTATAATAGGAAAAGAATTTTACATTTGTGATGTAGAGACTTAACATTAAATACTATTTCTGAAAGAGAGTGTAAAAAATTGGTGTAATCTTTTTGATAGTCAAATTGAGCTTCATAATTTTTTATGAGTAGTAATTCTCTGCCATGGAAACCTGTTTCTCCATCAGGGTTCAAACTGCTTTACTCAATTTTTTTTTAAGCAGAAGCACCCAGTATCCAATCACTTTTGCACATCATGCTCTGATTTTCTGAATGCAAATAGGCTGGCAATGCTCCTCAGGGCTCAGTGTTTTTGCTGAAAGGCAGTTTTTCTTCCTCTGTGTCCCTTGTCTCTAACTGATTTGAAGGTCAAGATCTTTGCTTCTTTCTTTTTCCATCTGATAAAGAGAGACAGTAAGGAAAAATTCTAAGGAAGGATGGAGTCATCTTTGAACAAGGAAAGACAATTTTCTATATAATAGAGTCACATATATCTGTAACATCATGTTACAGACCAAAACATCTACCAAATGCATCAGGGTCAACAGGAGCAACAACAGATGCCTGGTCATGTTTCACAGGCAAAAGAGGAAATGGCTTCTGGCATCCCACTCTATGAGAGTGGAGCATTTATTCTGAAGTCCCACTCTCTTGCTCTATTGAGGGGTGGGAGAGCATTTGAATCCACACCAGAATACCCTACAATACTGTTGGCTTCAGCTGTGTCACTGCTTTCCAGATCCAGAGAGCTGTAATATTCAGGAATTCTGTGACAGTAGACTCTTACTCATCCTCATAGGACATAGCCTTAGAATAATTAATTCACCCAAACATAGTGATTGCCTGCTCATGGCTTTTAAACTATTATTAGGTCAGATGATAATTTGCCCTCAAAAGATTTGGTGGAATGTAAATATTATTAGCACCATCAGCTCTTTGCTGTCTATTACCACTAATTAGCTACAAGTTCATGCTAAATAAATGAACAGGCCACATAGTACCTCAGTGTAAGAGATAAGACCCTGGTTAAATTTTAGTCACTTCAATGTACAACAGCCTTTACATTTGCTTGCTTTGGTAATGGTTCAAGAGCAGCAAAGACTTTGGCCAAAGAGCTTTCCATTTTAATTAAGAAAATTAAAGCTTTTCTAACTTCAGAGTAACACTTGGAAGAATACACCTGTGATTGATTTGCTTGGCATAGTGAAATATTCTCACATTGTTCTACATTTTGCAGTTGAGTTTGTGCTATTGATGTATAGATTGTCCTGCTCTTTTTTTTAATTTTTTTTTTAAAATTTTTCCTCCAAGTATTCCTACCAGTATACTTTTTCTACTATTTTATGTATTAGGATTATGAAGTTTTAAATATATTTAAAATGAGTAATGTTAAGAGTCATGACAAATGGTGTAAATTTACATATCATTCTCAGAAGCAGCAAAATTACAAAGCTGTCCTACAGAACATTGTGCTAGAAAACACTGGAAACATCTCTCCTTTCATCCTATAATTGCTATGATGAACACAGAGACAATAACCTTAATACCCCCTGACTGGATCAACTCTCACTATCAAAAGTCATGTCTTATGCTCCAATATTGATAAACTGTGACACATTTTCCCATGCTTTATACAGCCAAAATGATAATTTCTTCTGAATTGTTAATAATAATAATGAAATACATGCTATCGTGATTTATTTTTCCATTTTTTTATATTATGATTATTAGAAGAAGAAGACAAAAATAGCCCTTGCGCTGTCAGACCTTGTGATCTATACCAAATCTCAGAAGTTTATGACCTTTGACTATTCCCTAGCTAATCAGAAGTGCTATGAAAACAATTCAATTGGAGAGGTTCGAGCACGGAAATTTGTAAAACATTCAGGTAATTTCTTTTGAATTAATCAGATAAAAGTTACAAGGTTACTCTGGTTCACAGCCTATGCATTGGAAGAGCTAAAAGTTTATTAAACACATGCTGTCCAATTTTATTTGGTTGGTTTTATAACACTGTTTTGGAAATATCTTGTAATTTGCACTGCATTTTTATATCTGAGTTGGTTTTGTAAGGAAAATTGAAATCCAGCTTTGTTTTAATTTCTTGTAGTTTTATGAGAACAAATATTAACATTACATACAAAATGTGCAAATACCTTTTGATTCATTGTGTTCCACATCAAATAATTTAGAAGTTGCCATCAATACTTGCAAACGTGTGGACTAGATTTCACTCCCCATATATGGTCTGTAGTAGTCGCTAGAGTTGGGCATACAGGACCCTTGGCTTTGATGGTAACTGCAGATAAGATAATCTGCATTGGCAGAATGAATAAGCCCCATAGAAAGCAGTTTGCTCCATTGGACCAGATTGTTCACACCAGCAAAGCTGGGTTATTCAGAACTCATTCTGTGTTGGAGCATCTCCATTTGGTGCAACCAACACAATGCAGCCTCTGCTGTTCTAATTCCAGCTGTCTGCCAACAGCCTTATGGGAGTGTTAAGAACAGTGATTGCTGCCCTTTCAGAATGAACTCTGCCACAGGACCATTCATTCAGGGCCAGCCCAGCTGCCATGCACCATTTTGTGGAGATGATTCAATGCTTGGTTAGGTGAATAGTGCTGAACAATATCAAAACAAGAAGGCATTTGCCAGCTGTCCATACTCAAGAGTCCTTGCTGTTTCCTCTAGCAATCTAGTGAGCATAAAAGTAGGCCTATTAAAGAGAAAAAAAAAAAAAAAAAAAAGAAGCAAGGATCAGAGTGGTGACCCTGGAAGTGTAGAGCTTTCTATTTAATTACTAAAAGGGAATAGTGTAGATAGAAATCACCTGAAGTTTTCTGTATCTGAGTAGTTTATGCCTTTGTTGGAGGGAATACTTCTAGGAGGAAGAAAATCATTTGAATAGTTAACTGAAGATTGTAAAGAAACCAATGAAGTGTATTTCAGAAATGTGCTGTTCACTGGTCTTGAGGTTATTAAATCATTTTATTTAAATCTCAAAACAACAATCAAGCTACAATCATTTTGGGATGATTATTTCTCTATTGATCTATTCAAGAATGAGTGAGCTTTTTGATCAATTTCCTGGTTTGTGCCTTTTAATTTTCTGTGAGAACACAGTGGGCTTTAGTGTAAAAATCATGTTTACCTCACAAAGATGTGAAGAAACAGATTATTTCCACAAAGGAATGATTCTTGGTTATTGAACTTTTAACAAAAGATTGTGCTATACACATCAGATTCAAACATATAGAAAATAGTAAGGTTTTAAAATAGTGGTTTAACCATATCTTTTTTTGGCCCATATATTAATGTTAATGTGCATTCAAATGTCCTAAAATAGAAATACATTGATAAGATATACTCATTGTGTAAAACAAAAATAAAGTTGTTGGATCAGTTTATTATTATATGTTACTATTATTTATTCAAGTAAGATGTCTTTACTAATAAATTTTGTCTTATCAGAGTTTTGTCATTCTGGTTTCCAGCTAGAGCATTTGTTTTACATACTTCAAGATTCATTACAAGAATCTACCCCAAAGGAACAAGAGCAACCTCTTCAAATTATAATCCTCAAGAGTTTTGGAATGTGGGATGTCAAATGGGTATGTATGTTTGCAGAGACTGTTGCATTCCTGCCTTTGCAGAGACTACAGAGATTCAAGAGGTTTTTCTTCCTACAGTATTTTTTGTGTTATGTAAGTTACATATTTTCTCTCAGTAGCATCACTGCCATTTTGTGTTATCTAAACTTCTCCTTTAGTCTACATAACCTGGTAACTTTCATCCTGGAATCCAGGAATTATGGTAGGTAATAAATAAGGGGAATATTATTTCCATCTGCTTACTTATGTAATCAGTTACAGTTAGGCCCTGACTAATTATAAATAACACTTTCTGTTGAGTTTCTCTATCTTGTCCCAAATATCCCAGTTTATTATGGTTCATTAATTTCTTGACCATTTTTTCCCTGTTGGATAGTAAGAAAACCACTAGTAAGAACAATACAGCATTTTTGAGGTTTGAACTCTATTTTCTATTACCCCTAGCCCTAAGACTTCTCAAAGCATGATTTTATCTTATGAAACAGTGTAGCTAAAGCACATATATAAACAGCTTTCAGTAGCTAAAACAGAATTTTGGTGGTGTGTTTTTTTATTTTTTTTCTTTCATATATTATCTCTTTTTTTAATTAATAATTTGATTATATTTAGCCATGGGTATCTGTAAGGAGACTCTAAATGATAATTTATATTTTACTGCCTGTTTGTTTGGGCTGAAATTATGTTGACTATGCTACCTTAGGTTTTGAGGTAAAAGCAAGCATGCTATGCATTAAGCACTGTATTGCCAGGGAAAAAAAAAAATAGTTTCCAATACACCTTTCAAGAAAATGAAAATAGGTTACATTCTTTTGCCTACTGTATTAATCAAATTTCATAACCTCCATGCTTATTTGTCGGCTGTGGCTAAAGTATAAATAGAGCACGTTTATAAAAGAAAATGGGAATAGTTGCTGCCTTTTTTTTTCTTTCTCTCTTTTATTATTTCTCTTTCAAAAAAAATAAAAAGTCTTTCTCAGCTGCAGTCTAACACTCTTTATAGCTGCTATGTAGTTAGCAAAGGATCAGAAGCAGTTGCCTATTTAGCTAAAGGTGGAAACTGTTGGAATGTAATTGCATTTGCTTTTTCCTAAGGTTGCGCTATAGCATTGAGTTGGATGAGATGATGGAACAAGGTAAATCTGTGTGATTCAGGGATTTTTACACAGCAGTGGAAGCCTCGTCTGAAGGATCTGTGGGGTTTCAGTCATTCTGTGCAACTGGAGTGGTGCAGATCCAAGTGATGTGGACACAACATTTAATATCAGTGCCAAATATTCCCAGATTATGAGATGCTCCTGCAAAGAAGCACTCAAATACTCCTGGTCAACAGAATATCCAGGTACAGCTGCTGGGAGTCTTCAGTGACTGGATAGGTGCAACCTAAGTTTAGAATCCACATTTCCTGTGGAAACCATGTTAGTTCCCTGAGCAATGAAATAGCAATACCTTCTGTTTCTCTTCACTTCAAGATTTTATTTTGAAATTGTTAAAAATAAGCATGACTTCTGTACTCAGCAGACTGGAAAACCTCTCATCTGTAAGCACTTTCCTCTTTTAATGTCTTTAGAGGTAATCTTGCCTTCATCTTTTGTTCTTCAGTTTTAAAGATTCTCAGCTACCGAATATTTTTCTGTGTCAGTCTGCTACACCTTCTTCAACCTTAGTGAAGTAGGTGACAGTGTTTTCTGCATCCACATATATATTCTGTCTTTTATTCTGGTTCTGTACCAAGGCCACTGAGGGATCCTGTGGGGTGAGCAGGGCAGTTTGCAGTAGGCTCCCAGTTTTGAGAGGTGAAAGGTATAGTCTTACCTTGTTATATTGTACGACACATGCTCATACAGAGATGGGCACAGATTTCTCGTTGCCTGTAGGGCCCTGGAGCTCATGTGCACCCTTGCTCAAGGCTTCCTTTTGCACCTGTTTTCTTTCTTAGCTCCCAAAATATCTGCTTTTTTGAGTTACCTTCTCAGAAACGTTAATAACAGTGTGCTATTTCAAACAAATTGTGCACATCCATATTATTTATTGCTTAATCCTCTGATGTATCCCCAGCTACTCTCCTACAGTTATAGAACTTAGAAAGAGCATCATGACTCAGCTTTCACTGAGATTGCTCTTTGCACACCTGTGGATACGACCACAGTGTTGGAGGACAGCCCCAAGCCTAGATTTCTTACCACTTGCTGTTCCCACCCTGAGCTATGTCATGCTGCCAGTGCCAAATGTTGAGTAATGTGAGAAACAATGACTATGGAGATTGCATGAATTTTGCCACTCAGTGCTGGCTGTTCCATGAAAGAACAGAAATGTTCTCAGATCCTCCCCTGCCAAATTCTGTCCTTGGTATAAATTCTGCTTCTCATCCTGTTGTATTGAGGTATAGTTTTACAACTATGGCAGGAGTGAAAAAATTGCTGGTTAGTATAAATTTTGTTATTTTCTGTGTCATTATAAATATTTATTTCTAGTACGGATTGGGACTTGGATTAGGCTATTGCTGGAATTATCTCACTATTATCATACCGTTTGAAATTGGGTTGATTGTATCCTATCTTTGTGGCTGACCCTCATTTAACCTGATGCCATGCTCTTGCTCCATTATTTACCTGAGGTGGTGCAGTCTCTGTATATAATCTGTATTGCTTTTAAAAACGAGTAAGTTTGTCTCATGCTTACAGGAAGCACTGGCCAGAAGTCCTTAATCTAAAATCGAATTAATTTCTCAGGCTTATCATAATGCAGTTTACTAGTTTTCTTTCTAGGCTGTAGTTCTCCACATTGACCACTGAAAAGAACATCTATTTGTTAGACCTCAAAGTCTTTCAAAAAGACTACATTGACTGTTGACTCAGAATATAATTTAACGAACAGTCAGGCGAAATATTAGTATACAAAACGTATGATTTTTGCTGTATACGAGCTTTGGGCCCCTTTCTGGAAGAATTAAAAATATGCAGGAAGTGGCTAGATCTGCCCTCTTGGTCACATCATTTGCATCTTCCTTTAAGAAACATTTTTCTCATGGGAATATGCTGTTTATAAGTAATTCTCCACACATATTATTTCCAAGCCATGTCAGATCTATTCTTGATTCTCTAATCTGTTTTAGATAACTGTTTGGCAGAAATATAACTGTGCTTCAAAATGCAACTCCCAAAGCTCCACTCAGTGAATCTTCTGCTGATGTCCTTCCACTGATATAACACAGCTTTTTAAATTTTTTTGTCTGACCTGTGTCCATATAGCCCACACCCCCTCCCATCTCCTCGTGTTTAGGCACAGAAGTAATCCCTCCAGATTCCTTCTACTACTTTCCTAAAAATGTTCATGGGCCTCTCAGATTTCTCCTGTCACCTATTCCTCTTCCCCAACTCCTCTCATTTTCCTTGCACTTGCCAGCTTACCCTTCTCACTTACCTTTAAGTTTCTTTAACATCCATGACTGTTCTGGCCAGGTAAGGAAAATGTATTAGTTTTCATTCAAACCTACACACAATACTCCCTGCCAGGCCTCCACATCATGTAAATGATGAGAATGGAGTTATTCCTTCACTTCTCTTAGTGGTAGAGCCAAAACTGCTCCCTTCTGTGCCTTGCCAGCAATTTTCTCTAAATTGATTGGAACGTATTAACTGGGAGCAGCTTGGCACTCATCTGAAGCAGGAAGAAATGGTCCAATGGGCTCAAGATTTGTTGGGGCTGAGGACAAGAATTATGTAATTGTGTAAACCTAATTTCCAGAGGAAGGCAAGTTAAAAACCACAGTAAAAAGTACAAAGTTTCCACAAAATTGCTTTTGGATATCACTGTGCACTCAGAGTCCATTCTCTGAAAATTGAGACGCGTAAGAACAGGATGGGCTTTGTGAACAAAGAGGTCTTATGGAGAAAAATACCAACAGTAACTTTTTATAGTCTGGGAAAATTAGTATGCCTCCTGTGTACAACTGCAGTGTGGCACTGGAAAGAACTGGTTTGGCATATCCATATCTCCTTTTTATTTAGTAAGTAAGATGGAATGTAAAGATTTATATAGGGAAAATCAGAACTGTTATTAAAATAAACAAATGCCAGTTTTATTATATTGACTGTGGAAAACAAAGAAAAAAAACCCAAAGAAACCGAAGGAAAACCTCAGAGAAAATGAAAATAGAAAGACTTAAATATCCTTCTGAATAAATCATTATCCATGTATCAAAACAACCTACAGGAATGACTAAATCAGGTCATAAGTTATATGAGAGAGCCATGCTGTGGCAGGTACAAAATTTTTTTTAGAAGAGGCTATATAGAGCATATGTTTTCCAGAGCAATCGTAAAAATTTATATGCTACTGTGAAAGTTGTGCTACTTGTATGATAGATTTTTTTTTTTTTACTGTAGGTTTTGTTTTGGCCTGTGACATCAAAATGCAGCTTGGCAATTTTGTCATATTTGTTTTGTGGCTAAATCTAGTGTGCAATAACATCACAAAGATAATACATAAAAAGATGAATGATAAAGAGTTCTCTGTCTAGTTCTGATTTTAACCTCTGAAGCTATCTAAGGGAAAGAAACTCATGTATTTAGATCTTGATATCCCTTACCTGTGCAACTTATAAAGACTGCCAAGTCTGACATTGCTTGGGTTCTAAATGAATGAAAACATCAAGAAGAGGCAGACTATGGAAAGCCTCATAAAGGAAAGGGGGCACAAGATCACTAATTTACTTTGAAATTTTCAGATCTATGTTTTCTGAGAAAAGGTATTTTCCTTTCTCGTTGTGCAAATACAAAACATGGAGACAACAGGCTGACCATTTTTATTTATTCTTTTTTTAATGAACACTATGTTTCATTGTAGAATATTTGGATATTCTCACAATCTTATTTAACACTGTACATTTTAGAATATGTGATGGAACACTAAATTTAGTAAAGGAATTTATGAAATAATGAAATTGAATTTAAGGAAAAACAGGCTCTTCTCTTAAAAGGTGGTGCAATACTACACTTTGA